TTAATAATTAATTTTCGTTTAAACAATTACTATTTTATGAAACTGTAAACTAAACCCTACTCTTATTTTCACTCGCGCCGTTTCACCAGAAGGGACCAAAACGAGTCTCCTTTCCCATGCATTACTACCATTACCAACCCCTTACCACTACCGACTTAAAGATTGGTATTCCCTAGTTCCCTAGAACGGGCTACCACCCTAACTGAAGTTGCACATGGTTGCCTATGTTTAACGATTCTCTTAATTTATTTTTCGAACTAAAATTATTCAAATGCGGTTTCGCGTCGTTGTTTTTTTCTCGGACATCACAACATCGAAATAAGAAGTGATGCGCTAAAAATATGTAGAACTCTACCTACACTGCTCTACAAAACTCTCTAGAATTAGATTTAAAAAAAATGTTTTTCAACTCGGGATACCACAGTGGAAAATTTTAATCGATTAACTAAACGTGAAGGCACGTTCTAATTTGTTTCTGCTGCCTGATAATAAGGAACATTGTCAAAAACACACTTAAGAAGAAGTGTAAATTTTTTCGTCAACAATTTAATACCATGTCTTATCACATAATAAAATCCTTTAGACACACAGGCTATTAACAATTTTTGTGAATATTTACGAATCCCGCCTGTGCACCCAAACATTAATTACGGTAGTTACCACCTCAAGTTTGAATTGCATTTTTTATTTACTTTTTCAGTTGAATGTGTCCAATTCTTGCAAAAACAGGCCAAAACTTTGGACCTGGAATTTTTTAAAAAACGAAAATCCGAGAAACTGGAAAATCGAAAATTTTAAGCGAAATGTAGAAAAAGCAATGTATAGAAAGTCGAAAAATTTAAAATTCAAAAATCCAAAAATCGCAAAGTCGAAAAATGGAAAAATTAAGAAATTAAAATTAAAAAAATTAAACAACGAAAAATCGAAAATTCTAAAAACGTAAAAATCGAAAAATCGAAAAACCGAGAAAACAAAAATTCGAGATTTCGAAAAACCGAAAAATCCAAGAAGCGAAATGTAGAAAACACGAAATATCGAAAGTCGAAAAATCGAAAATTCGTCGTGTTAACATGGGTGGGAACTGAACCGAATCTACCATCCATTTTACTCCATAGTCATATGGATGTGGTCCCAGTTTTTGAACACAAATGGACCCACAAAACTTTCAATGCCGATGTAGATAAACACAATAAAGTTCTATGCCCGTGATATGCAGAATATGCAGAGTATAGGTGTTCAATATTTGGAAGCTATTCGAAGATTGAAACAACAGGGAGTTGCCCTGAAAAGGACGATTCAGATATCTTTTGTTTCCGGTGATATGTGTACAACACAGTGTCGTAAATAACTATATTTTTAATTGTAGACGAAGAAATTGGTGACAACTCCAACATCTACTGGGTTGCCTTTAAAGAAACCACCGATAAACTGTAAGATGCAGCATTTAAAAAACCAAACAATAACAATTTTTCCAGATGGCGGAAACTAAAAACCGAAATATGTGGCGGAGCTACCGACGGTCGCTACATCTGAGGTGTTGGAATATCAGCCATCGGTTTCTCACCCAATATTGTTATATAACCACAATGAATACTCGAATGTCGAGCTATTTCTAAAAGGGATTGAGATCTACATCCAAATTTTAATTTCAGTGGGAAACAAAACCAACTAACCTTGTTAAAAACGCGCTTATATCTGTTATCTGATAATAAAAAAAGCATCATGAAACCTTCGTGTTGTCTAACTTTTTACACACCTACAACCTTAACCTCGTTAAGGCAGCCAAAATGTCTTCAATTCAGCACAAAAATTACTCCTTTGACGAAATAGCGGTTGACAATTTTTGGGAATATTTGCGAATTCCTTCCGAACAACCAAATGTTAACTACGGTGAGTACCAACAATAATTCAAAATTATTACCTACATTGGATTCACAGAAGCCTTTGTGAGATTTCTTCAATTTCAAGCCGTATGTTTGGATCTACCCATACAAATACATTTATCGATGTCCAACAAACCCGTAGTTGTGTTAACATGGGTGGGAACAGAACCGACTCTCGCAGCAATACTCCTTTACAACCACATGGACGTGGTACCACTTCGTGAAACCAATTGGAGTAACAACCCTTTTGGTGGCGACACTGATGATCAAAAAACTTACGCTAGAACCAGTGCACACAAGAAAACTGCATCCATTCTATGTCTTGAAGCTGTGAGACGTTTGAAGAATAGCGGAGTGACTTTAAAACGAACGATTCACTTATGTTTTGCGCCAGGTAAAACACGATTTTTTTCTTACGGGTTGAATAGAGATTTTTGTAGATGAAGAGCTGAAAGGCTTGGAAGGAATGGCAGGATTCATAACGACAAATGAAATTTCCAAATTAAACATTGGATTTGTACTAGATTCAGGACTCCCGAGTCCTACGAACGAGTTTACGGTGTTTAACGGGGAAAGATGTATCTGGAGTAAGATTTATTAACAGATCAAAAACCAAAGTGATGTTTGTTTTTAGAAATTCGAGTACATTGTCCAGGTAACGCTCAACACGGTCTTTTGTTGGATTGCACTGCTGGCGATAAGATGACTCGTGTTTTAAACAAATTTTTCGCTTTTAGAATGCAGCAAAAGCAAATATTAAAAGAGGAGCCTAATCTGACGATTGGAGATATCATCACCATTAATCTAACAAATATCGAAGTAGGAAACGACTTGCATAAATATTGTTTTTCTATATAATGGATGTTGTAGAGTGGTATCCAAAACTTTTTGGTACCAACAGGATTTGTGCTAACTTTTGATTGTCTGATTCCTCCCGAAAACGTGGATGTTGTACTGTTCCAAGAAGCAATAACTAAATGGTGCAAAGACGTTGGTTATGATACATGGATTGAATATGCAGTGCAAGAGCCACAAATCAAACCCACAAAAGTTGACGGTTCGAATAAATATTGGGTTGCTTTTAAAGAAGCGATCGATAAACTGTACGTATTTGTAGCTACCTATAAGCTCACATAAAACTGTGGTTTATTTTAGTGGGTTAAAAATGAAGACCCAAATCTTCCCGGGTTATACAGATTGTCGCAATTTTAGACTCTTCGGAATCCCAGCGTTAAGTTTTACACCCATTAACAACACACCTGTGTCATTACATGAGGATGGTCACCACTTAACGCTTGACGCTTTTTTAAAAGGTATAGAAATATATTACAATATTATACTATCGTTAGGGAACGTTGTGTAGAAATGAAAAAGCGAAGGATACATGTTAAGAGCAGTTAGAATAAAAAATATGTAGTTACAATTATAATAAACATATTTGGATGCGATAAAAATTTTTCTTGGCAAGTATAGTATCGTTCTTACATTCTTACATTTCTAAAACTTAGCAAAATATCCTGTCGAATCCTGTTGCATGCTACAATTTTTTGAACATTAAACGTGGAACATCTAGAATCAACGCGCGTGGACAGGTTGCTGTTATTTATCGGGATTTTTCCCGTATGTTTGACAGAATTTCTCATACTATTTTGCTACATAAACTTGATAATTTTGGGTGTTCTTTTCCCCTCCTTGAAGTTCTTAGATCTTATTTGTCGATAAGAGTTAATTATGTTTTTACAATCAGGCTCAAATTTTGACTGGACTCGATACGACTGAATTGACTGAATGATAATCGTTCCCGGAGGTGACCCCTATTTAACCACACTTCTCTTCTAGATGTTCCTCAGTCGAGGTCTTTCTGGATTGCCCATCGCGACTTCCGCTTCCAGGCTTTTCTTTGACGAATGCCGCTCGGCCGCCGTCACCGGCGATGAATCCTCATCGTCGTACATACTAAAACCCATAGGCGTAGTACCGGGGGTTTCTTTCGTAACAATAATAATACGTGTGTGATAATTAAACCTAGAAAACTGCAAGATAAGAATTCGAGGACTGTACTTAATCATTTAATAAACTGCGACTGGGTATTTACACGTTAGCCAAGTACTCTCAAAACTGCTAAAAACAATTAAAACTAAAAATTCAGTGGAAATCAAAGAAATCTTCCCCTGAGATAAAGAAAAACTAAAACTAACTGGATTGAAAAATGCGCTTAAACGTACGCTAATTGCGAAAATAAAACATTCAAAAACAGAGATAAGTAATTTTACTTTAATTAATTCGCTAAATACCTACGCCAGGCGCGAACACTTGTTCACGAGAAAATCAGCATTTACTGAATGGTTAAGTGAAAGCAAAAATGGATAGCCAGATCGTTTCAGTGAAGATAAACTTTGAGAAAACAGTATCATAAATGATCTAAAATACTACTCAGGGCCTTCCCATCAAAACCTACCATGTCGAACCCCTCATGATAATTGATAATCGTATTGGCAGAATTTGCCCATACCATTCTAGTCAACAGTCACGTAGATGTGGTTCCCGTTTTCTAAAATAATTAGATTCACACACCTTTCAGTGCCGACATAGACGAACAAAATAACATTTATGCCCCAGCTTTGGGGACACAAAACATGAAATCTGTGGGACCAGTGTTTGGAAGTTCTCAGAAGACGAAAATAACAAGGATAAAAAAAGCGATCTCCACATGCCCTTCTAGCAAAAATTTTAAACTTAATATTAAAAGAGAGTTTTTAAATTAGAGACAGAACATGGGTAGACTGAAGGAGTAGCTACTCCAAGCGACGAGTTTACTTGTTCTATGGAGAAAGATGGACTTGGCGTAAAATAATGAGGTTTGAAACTGAAAATCGAAATATGCGAAAGCACGACGGATGGTCACATGCTGTTCATAACCACAATGTATACTTAAATATCAAGACGTTTCCAAAGGGAATTGAGATCAACAGCCAAATTCTAACCTAATTAACAATTAAGCATGTTTAAAAACGTGTTTATTTCTGTAATCAGATAATGAGAAAAAATTATCAAAAAACTCTCTTGACGTCTACCTTTTTTCATACCTACAACCAAAACCGCATTAAAGTAGCCAAAATGTCTGTCCATATAAATACCGAAAACGATGATATAGCGGTAAATAATTTTAGGACCTATTTGCAGATTCGTACCACACAACCAGATGTTGATTACGGTGAGTATCAGTAAACCAAAGTCCTATACCTTCATTTGATTCACAGCATCTTGCGTGGCATTTCTTAGGCTTCAAGCCCGGCAGCTGCAGCTATCCATGCAAGTAATCGATACAGTGCCAGACAAACCTATCGTTTTGATGACATGGACGGGACTTGAACCGGATCTTCCAGCAATTCTCCTTAACAGTCACATGGACATGACAAAAATTATTAAAGAATGGAGGCACGATCCTTTTAGTGCCTATTTAGATACTAATGATCAGAAAATTTACGCTAGGGGCGCTCAAGATTCGAAATGTGTCGGCATTCAGTATCTTGAAGCTGTGAGGCGGTTAAAGATATCCGGCAGACTTTTAAATAGAACGATCTATATAACTTTTATGCCAGGTAAAACACGATTTTTTCTGATATGTTGAAGAAAGTTTCTTGTAGATGCAGAGGTAGGTGGTTTAGAAGGAATGTATAGATTCGTACGGACGGAGCAGTTTGGAAAACTTAATATTGGGTATGCGCTAGATGCAGGAAGGCCGAGTCCTAATTACGACATTGCAGTGTTTACTGGGGAAAAGTGTTTCTGGAGTAAGGTTTAACAGAGAAAAAAACCGAAAGTGATATTTGTTTTTAGATCTACGGATTCGCTGTTCTGGCAACCTTGGAGATGGATCGCTCATCTTGGCCAACACTGCGGGAGAAAAAATGACTGGTGTTTTGAAGAAATTTTTCACTTTCAGAACAGCGGAAATGCAAAAACTGATAGACAACCCTGAGTGGACGCTTGCAGATGTCGTCACCATGAATCTAACAAAAATTGAAGTGGGAAACGATCTTGTGTAATAAGTACTACTTTTCTGTATAATGCATGTTCTAGGGTGGTCCTCAACGGAATATGCTAAAATCAGAATTTGTGCTAACTTTTGATTGTCGCATTCCCCTCGGAACAGAGGATACAGAGGAAGTACATGAAACAATGCTACAATGGTGCCGAGACGTTGCTGATGATGTATCGATTCAATATCTAGTCAGGGAAGAACAGATTCCCCCCACAGAAACCGACGATAAGTACTGGGAGGTTCTTAAAAAAGAAGTTGAGGATTTGTACGTATTTATACTTAAAGGGTCAAATAAAACAAGGGTTTATTATAGTGGTCTAGATATTCACTGCGAAACTTTCCCGGGTCGTACCGATAGTCGTCATTTACGAGAGATGGGAATACCAGTGGTCGGTTTTTCGCCCATTCCCTTCACGCCGGTGCACTTACACGAAAATAATGAACATATAGAGACTCTATATTTTTTAAAAGGGATAAAAATTTATTACAATATTTTAATACAGATGGGGAACCTTCCGTAGTAAAGAATAACAGGTAAATGTTAAACATACATATTAAAAAAAAATTAATGGTTATAAAAATAAACATAGTATTTATATTAATAAAAAAATTATCTTGGTAAATAAAACCGAATTTATTATTAAGACTCCACAATTCCTTAGTAAACAGCTGTTATCTGTTCCTTCGGCACATTTTATTACTTAAAGCTAAATACAACACCACCCTACATATTTGTCAAGACATTTTTAATTACCTTGATTGCCAAAAGAAGTGAATGTATTTAAGACGTCGGGGTGACAGTACTCTATTGTATATTTTTAGTAGTAAAGTAAATTTTAAAATGACTTCACTATTCGGGACAAAAAAAAATAGTTGCACACCCAAACCGTCAATAATTTTCACGAATATTTAAAGATTCCTTCCGTACATTTCGATATTAGTTACGGTAAGTATTTTTTTTTTTGTTAACATTTTTACTTCCAGAGCGTAAGCAAAGGAGGTATTGTAATCTAGTTAGTCCGTCGGCCGACTCTCTACTTTTACGTTTTCTCGATCTTTCATTACCCTTACAGGAAGAAAAAATAGGTCTCCCGTTTCTGTCTGTCTGTCTGTCTGTCTGTCTGTCTGTCTGTCTGTCCGTCTGTCTGCCGTCACGGATATTTATTAGACAGATAATCTCCGAAAGTACTGGGCCGATTGTTGTCAAATTTTGTTATATCAGGAATATCATGTAGATGGTAAAACGCTAACCAAAATGTCTCTAATCATCCCCACCACTAATGCGATGACGCCACTTCAAAATTGTACCTAGTAAATGGATTTTAAATTGTATAAAATAACATAGTCCTACACATGTAGTTTACGACTCCGAATTGGGTTTTTGCCCGAAACGTCAAAATCAAAATTATAAAACATTTTGCAATTTAATTTTGAATCTGCTAACCCGAATGCTTTGAAATGTTGCAGATGTTTTCAGGCTATAAAGAGCATCATAAATCTTTAGTCGAAATATAATTGGTTATCCCTTCCAAAAACTTGATGACGTCACCCCAAAATTTTGCTGAGTAAATCCTATCTAAAATGTACAAAATATGATGAGTCTCCTCTTGTGATTTATCATTTCATTCAAATTTTTTGGATTTGCATATACAGGGTGACTTAAAAAAATTAATGAATGCGCAAATTTATTTTGTTTGATTTACTGAGGAACTACCAAACCGAATGCTTTGAAATCTTGAAGGTATTTTAAAGTTATCATAAGCATGGTAAATTTTTGATCAAAATGTATTTGCTCACCTTCTCTAAAAATTTATAACGTCACCCCAAAATTTTGCTGAATAAATCCTGTCGAAAATGCACAAAATATGATGAGACAATACTCGTGATCTATCATTCCATTAAAATTTTTTAGATTTGCGTATACAGGGTGCCTCAAAAAAATTAATGAATGCTGGAATTTATTTTATTTATTTAATCAAGAACTACAGAATCGAATGCTTTCAAATCTTGGAGATGTTTTAAAATTATCATAGACATGGTAAATGGTTAGTCAAAATGTATTTGTTCATCTTTCCTAAAAAATGTATGACCACCTCAAAATTTCGCTGAATATATCCTATCTTAAATGTGCAAAGTGTGATGAGACAATACTTGTGATTTATCATTACATTAAATTTTTTTGGATTTGCTTATACGGGGCGTCTCAAAAAAATAATGACTCAATTTATTTCATTGATTAAATTAAGAATTGCAAAACTGAATTCTTTGAAATCTTGCAGACATTTTGAAGTTATTGTAAGAATCTTAACTTTTTAATCAAAATGTATCTGTTTATCAACCCCAAAAAGTTGGTTACGTCATCTCAGAATTTTGTCGAAAAAATCCTTTCGGGAATGTGCAAAATATGATCAGACTATATCTGTAATTTATCATTGCATTCATATTTTTTAGATCTGCATATACAGGGTGAATCAAAAGAATTAATGAATCAGTCAAGTTATTATTGATCAAATTACGAACGAGCCGTGACTTCCAGAGTGTAAGCGAATTATTTGAAATATCCAGTCACAGAACTTTAATGAGAAGAATCTATGATGGACATAAAGACACGGTTCTGAAAGCGAGGGAAGCACTGTCTAAACTCTTTAGACCATTTTTTTTTTAATTATATATGCTTCAGGTGTAAAACATGACCGCAATAGATATACATATAGGTATTCGGAATCAAAAAAGATATATCGTATGATTTTTTCACACAGCTAATTGTAATTAAGTACTGCATAAAACATACACTACTATACATAAATCATATAAACATAGACTTCTTTTGGTTGTCGTTTAACCATCTACATGATATTTCTAATACACATACCAAATTTGACAACAATCGGTCCAGCAGTTTCGAGATGACGATTACGTGTCTAAGAAAAATCGATACACACCAGTCAGACAGACAGCCAGATGGAAACGGGAGATTATTTTTTGCGTACTTTAGGGGCCATGAAACGTCGAGAAAACATAAAACTGGCCGTTTATCCAGTGGACATGATTACTATAATTCCTTAGCTTCGGAAAGTAATAATGGTAGGTTTCATTTAGAATGTAATTTTATAAAAGGACAATTGTTTAAACAAAATTGAATGGCATTCGAGGCCACGGTCCCCCTGCAACGAGTATAATTAATGTAAGACCAGTCAATTAACAATTTATTAATCGGAAATGTGAAATTTTGGCGAATTCGTCAACTAGTGTTTTTAAATTTGCAGTTCATGATAAAATTTTTAACAATTCATGGTTTTAATATAATTTGACGAATTTTTCAACTTTACGAAATGCAACTCTTCTCAGTTTAAAATTTTTTAGTTTTTCGATTTTAGAATTTTTCCATTTTTCAATTAATGCATTTTAAAACTTTTTCATTTATGGGATTTATCAATTTTTCGAATTTTAAATATTCGATTTTGGGTTTATCAGTTCCTCCAAATTTAATTTTTCAATTTTTTAATCTTGCAGTGTTACAGCTTCTCGAGTTTACAATTCTGACGATTCCATAATTTTTGGATTTTACAATTTTCCTTCCAGTTTTCCGTTTCTTTTTTGTTAGATTGTTAAGTTTCTCGATTTTTAGTTTTTCAATGTTTCAATTTTTCGTTTTTTCAGTTCTTCGATTTTGCAATTTTTTGATTTTTCAATTTGTTCCGATTTTTAATCTTTCAATTTTTCAACTTCTCGAATCAAAAAATGGAAAAATTGCATTAATTGTAAAATCAAAAATGAAAATTTTGAAAAATCTAAAAACTGGAAGTCACGAATCTGAAAAATTGAAGAAACGAAAATTTGAACAAGCGAAAGATTAAAAATTGAGAAACGTAAAATTCGAAAAAGTGTAAAATCTAAAAAACAAAATATGTATTGTAAAATCGAAAAATTAAAGAAATCGGAATATCGGATAACTGGAAATCCAAAAATTGCAAAATTTAAAAATTGGAAAATCGAGGCATTGAAAAATCATTAATTGAAAATTTGAAAAATTGAATAAATGAACAATTATAAAATCGAAAGAAACATTAAAAAAAAGGATATGAAGAAAACGAAAAATTATTCTATTCGATTTTATATAATTATGAAAATTAAAAAATTCGTCAAAAGTTGTTTCGACAGAACTTCCCTCGCTCCTCAAGTACAATGAAACATATCCAGCATTTTCGAATGGGCGTCTGTCATCGTTTCTCTGTAATAATGAACTTTTCAACCTGCGATGGATTTCTGTACCTGTTTAGATTAGTGCATTCGCGCTAGCGTGTTGACCAGTTCACTAAAGTTTATGTTTCCCTGTGTTATTGTTTGTGATTTAAAAAAATTAATTTAAAAACTGCTCCCTTCTGAAATGTGCATGTTACGCTACTGACTGACAGTCTGTTGTCAGATTCTGATCATTCACCATGCTGAACTTAAAATAATCCATCTCTAATAACCCTTGTCCTTCAACACTAGATAATAGCTTCCTGATAAATGTTTATTTATGTTTATACATCGAAAGAATGTCAAGTAGAAGTTAGTCTGAGTTGAATGAATTTGTCTTCTCAAAACACAGGACTAAAATTATTAATTAAACCACAATCGAACAAAATGTTCTGAATATTATAATTCTTATTTTATCATTATTATATAAAGACGTTCATATTCTTCACATTTTCGAGAAAATGAGGTTCTTAATTTGACCAATAAAAAATTCATGACGACGTCGTCAACATGGATAATACTAGTCACAGCACAAAATAAAAATAGCCACAACGTATTACCAGTGCAAGAAAAAACAAGGACAACATGGATTCGTGCAGTGTAATACTAAAAATAACATTATTTTATTGCTAGAATTTTCTGGGAAAATGGATTGAGCCGTTCTTGATTTAATCAATAAAATAAATTGACTCATTCATTAATTTTTTTGAGCCACGTGTTTAAACACATCCAAAAAATATGAATGCAGTGATAAATCACAAGTAAAAGCTCATCATATTTTGCACATTTTGGGTCGAATTTGTTCGGGAAAATTTTAAGATGACGTCATCAATTTTTAGGGGGAAAATAAACAGATATATTTTGATTAACAATTTACCATGCCTACAATAACTTCAAAATGTCTGCAAGATTTCAAAGTATTCGGTTTTACAATTCTTGGTTTAACCAAGAAAATAAACTGACCCAGTCACTAATTTTTTTGAGACATCCTGTATAAGCAAATCTAAAAAATATTAATGCAGTGATAAATCACTAGTACACACTCATCATATTGTGCACATTTAAGACAGGATTTACTCAGCAATATTTGGAGGCGACGTCATCAGTTTGTTAGGAGGAATATGTATTTTGGTCAAAAATTTACCATGCTTATGATAAGTTTAAACTATTCCCAAAATTTCAAAGCATTCGGTTTTGCAGTTCTTGATTAAATCGATAAAATAAATTCAAGCATTCATTAATTTTTTTTGAGTCACCATGTATAAGCAATTCCAAAAAA